CATCAAAAAAATGGAGTTTTGACCTCTGTCTCTAATGTGTCTAAAACTCAGTCTTCAGCATTTAATAGTAAATTTAATGACAAAAAGAGTTTTAGTTCTAATAGAAGTAGAAATCAAAATCTGCAATGTAAAAATTGTGGTCTAAAAGGTCATCTTATTGACAGATGTTATAAACTGATAGGTTATCCAAAGGATTTTAAGCCATTTAATGAAAATCAAAGAAATCAGAATAAGACTTTTTCTGTTAATTCTTCTTCTGTTCCTTCTAGTAGTGGTTCTTCCTCTGGTGTTGTTTCTAATGTTCCTGGAAGTGATGGTACATATTGTTTCACAAGTGAACAATATCATAAGTTGTTGAGTCTTATTAATGAAAGGTCCTCAACTTCTGAGGATACTTCAGTCAGTGCTAATATGGCAGGTATTCCTTTCTTTAATGCTTATAATTCTACTATTAATCATCAAAAGTGGATTGTTGACTCGGGTGCAAATCAACATATGACTTCATCTGAATCTCTATTACAAGACACTGTTGATGTTTCTAAATTAAATCTGCTTGTTAATCATCCTAATGGTTCATCTGCTAAGATTGAAAAAATTGGAAACTTACAGTTTTCTGAAAAATTAACATTGTTTGATGTCTTTGCTGTTTCTGGTTTTAATGTAAATCTTCTTTCTGTTCATAAGATATGCAAAGACACAAATTGTGAAGTTGTTTTTAATGAATCTTCTTGCAAAATTCAGGATTTACAATCCAAGAAGGTTGTGGAGAGTGGTAGAGAGTCTGGGGGATTGTATTATCTAAATGCTTTTCCCTCAGGTAGTAGTTCTTGTAATTCTGTTAAATGATGTGTTTCTAAACTTACATGGCATAGTAGATTAGGTCATCCTGCAGAACAGTCCTTGAATTCTTTAAAAGATGTTCTTTGTTTTGATAATTCTTTTCTTCCTCCTTGTGATGTCTGTCATAAAGCTAAACAAACTCGTGAGTCCTTCTCTCATAGTGTTCATAGTTCTTCTAAACTTGGAGAACTAGTTCATTTAGATGTATGGGGTCCCTATAGGGTGTCTACTAGAGAAGGCTATAAGTTTTTTTTGACTATTGTGGATGATTTCACAAGGGCTACTTGGGTTTATCTTTTAAAAAGTAAAGATGAAGTTTATGATAACTTTACTTCTTTTTTTCATGTTTTGTTAAACCAGTTTGATTCTAAAATCAAAATAGTTCGTTCTGATAATGGAACTGAGTTTTTAAATCATAAAATGGAAACTTTTCTTAATCTTAATGGTATTCTTCATCAGACTACTTGTGTTTATACACCCCAGCAAAATGGGGTTGTTGAAAGGAAACATAGGCATATTCTTAATGTTGCTAGATCCTTGCTTTTCCAATCTGGTCTTCCAATAAAATATTGGGGAGAGGCTGTTCTCACTTCAGTGTTTTTGATAAACAGAATGCCAACTTCAGTTTTAAAAGGACAGTCTCCTTATGAATTAGTGTTTAAGAAAATGCCTGTGTTTGATCACATAAGAGTCTTTGGCAGTTTATGTTTTGCTACCAAGCTTAATAATTTGGATAAGTTTTCTGAAAGGGCTGAAAAATGTGTTTTGCTAGGATATTCTTCTGAGAAAAAAGGTTATAAGCTTTTGAGTCTTGATACAAATTCTGTTTTTGTTTCCAGGGATGTGAAGTTTTATGAGTCAGTCTTTCCATTTAAACTGAAGTCAACAACTGTTGATAATCGATTTGTTTTTAAAGATTTAGTAGACCCTTTTTCCTATGATGACTATGATAGTTCTGATTATGTGAATGATTTAATAGATCTTAATGACTTGAGTGTTAACCATCAAATGGATGGCTCTAATGCAGCTCAGGATTTTGGTGAAAATTTGAATGATATTACTTCTGATAATAACCAGACTAGCGAGGTATCTGAACCTTCATTTGATAGGACTATGCCAAGTCATTCTGATTCAACTGAGGAAAGTAGTCATTTAACTTCATTGCCTTCTCTAGGACAGTCAATAGGGGCATCTAGATCTAGGAGAGAGTCTCGAATGCCTGTTAAATTCAATGATTATGTAATTGAAGGAAAACATAGATATGGAATTGAACATACATTGAATTATTCTGTTCTTAGTGCTGAAAATAAATGTTTTTGTTCAAATTTAAATAAAACTGTTGAACCAAAAACATTTGAAGAAGCTTGTGTAGATTCAAATTGGGTTGAAGCAATGAATAATGAAATGGAAGCTTTATATCGTAATCATACTTGGGATGTTGTAGAACTTCCTAAAAAACGTAAACCTATAGGCTGTAAGTGGGTTTATAGGATTAAGTACAAACCCAATGGAGAAGTAGAGAGGTATAAAGCTCGTCTTGTAGCTAAGGGTTATAATCAAAGAGAAGGAGTTGATTATCAGGAAACTTTTTCTCCTGTAGCTAAAATTGTTACAGTTCGTATAGTTATTACTTTGTCTGTGAATAATTCTTGGCCTTTATACCAGTTAGATATTAATAATGCTTTTCTTTATGGAGACTTAACTGAGGATGTATATATGAGCTTGCCTCAAGGGTATCATACTAAAGGTGATACTAGAGTGTGTAAATTGGTTAAATCTTTATATGGGTTAAAGCAAGCTCCTAGAAAATGGAATGAAAAGTTGTGTTTTGAATTGTTTAGTTTTGGTTTTGTTCAAAGCATAAATGATTACTCCTTGTTTATTAAACAAAACAGTAATTCAATTGTTGTATTGTTGGTTTATGTGGATGATATTATTCTAACAGGAAGTGATGAAGTTGAGGTTCAAAATGTTAAATCTTTTCTTAACTCAAAGTTTTTGATTAAAGATTTGGGAAAATTGAATTACTTTCTTGGAATTGAAGTAGTAGATACTAATAAAGGAATATGTTTAAATCAAAGAAAATATTGTCTTGAATTGTTACATGAGTTTGGTATGTTAGGCTGTAAGCCTGCTTCAACTCCTTTGGAAGCAAATTTTGTTCCTAAAAGGAGTTGTGTTAGTAGTGATCCTTTACTTGAAAACATTACTGAATTTCAGAAATTAGTTGGAAAACTTATATATTTGACTATTACAAGACCAGATATATCTTATTGTGTTCAAATTCTTAGTTAGTTTATGCATAAACCACATAAGTCACATTTAAACATTGCTTTTAGATTACTTAGATATTTAAAAAATAGTCCTGGTCGTGGTATTTCTATTGTAAAATCTGGGAGTTGTGACTTAGTGGGTTATGTAGATGCTGATTGGGCTAAGTGTCTTAATTCAAGAAAATCAGTCACTGGATATTTGGTTTATTTTGGAAATTCTCTGATTTCCTGGAAAAGTAAAAAACAAGCTACTGTATCTAGGTCTTCAACAGAATCAGAATACAGAGCTTTAGGCTCTATTACATGTGAAATTATTTGGGTTTTAAAACTGTTATTTGATTTAGGAATCAAAAGTTCATTACATGTTTCAGTTTTTTGTGATAGTGAATCTGCTATTAAATTAGCTTTAAATCCTGTATTTCATGAAAAAACAAAGCATTTTGAAATTGATTTACATTTTGTTAGGGAAAAGATTACAAATGGTGTTTTAAAAGTTGAAAAAATAGTTTCTTCAAAACAAAGAGCTGATATGTTAACTAAGTTCTTAAGTGTATCACAACATAATTTTTTAATTGATGAAATTGGATTAATAAATCCTTTTAATTAATATAAATCTTTAATTTAAAATGTCAAGTTTGAGGAGGGGTGTTGAATATTGTTGATGTTATTGCCAAACTTGTCATTTAAGATTGTGCAGGGTAAATAATGGAAATTAGTAAAATGCCATCGGGTTAACACGCGGGTCAACACGCGGATCTTTGAACCGAGATATAAGAGGGAAGATGAGAGGATTCTGGAACACACAGATATTTTCTACGCTTCTATTCTCTCTCAGTTCTCTAAGAAAAGTGATTAGGGTTTGTATATTCAATCGGTTCTTAGTTGTTCATAATCTTTCATTGTTTGTTGATTAATCAGTAGATTAGGATGAGTGTTATGTAAGAGAGTAGAATAGGAATTGTGTAGTGAGGTTTCGTTGTAAGTATATGAAAACCATCTGTCTATTTGTCCTAAAATGATATAATAGATGATGATGTTGGGAAAATAAGTTTCTTTACACCGCGGGGGCCCCGTTTATATTTAAATAAAAAAATATATATTTAATTTAAAATAAGAAATTTTGGCAATTAGGGCTTGAGTGCTTGAGCTTGAGTGCTTGACCGCAGAGGCGCAGACCCCTTGACACGGCTTCAACTTTTCTGTATTCCAAGTTCTAACTTCCGTCAATACATAACACAATACTCAATTACATAATTACTCCATAACTCGATTAGATGATTACTCCTTATACGAATGAAGAATTGAAGTGATGAAGTCTGAAGAGTGAAGCTGTGACCGATTTCCGACCGAGAGTGACAATCCAAGTTCCGACTGAGAGCGACAATCCAAGTTCCGACCGAAGAATGAAGAATTGAAATCGGAAGAGTGAAGACGAGGCAACGATTAGCGAACAAGGTAGCGTGTCCTTTCTTCCCGACTCTTAGGCAACGAACGAGGCAGCATCGCAGGCTTGCAATGACCCTCTTTTGCATTCCATTTTCCACGCACGGTAATGTTTACCCTTCTGCATTCCAGTTTCTCAATTTGATAAATAACTCACAAATGTCTCAAGTTCTGCATTCCCGTTTCTCAATCTCATGCATTCCGGTTTCTCAATCTCAAGTTCAAAAACCTGTATGACTGTATCCAGTATCTGAACCTTAGGGCTTAGGGCAGAAAAAATATGCTTGCACTGTTGGTTTAATCCATATTAAACCACTACCTTAGGGGCTGAAACCGGAGATTTGAAATTGGTTCCAATGATTTTAAGTTATTCATCTTCAAATTTCTGAAATAAAGATTGCTCTAAAGAAATGGGATACATCTAGTTTCATTGAAATAAGCGAAATGTCCGAAAATATGATTACAAAGTTTGACGAGTATTGGAAAGAAAGTCACGGGGTGTTGGCTATGGCGACGATATTGGATCCAAGGTTTAAGATGAAGCTCCTAGAGTATTTTTTTCCTATTATCTATGGAGTAGATAATGCAAAAGATGAAATTCAGAAAGTGCGTCAAATTTGTGAAGATATATATTTGCGATATGAGTCACGTGTTATGAGTCAAGCAAGTAATGATGATATTACTACTAAGCCCACTTCTAGTCGAGATGCAGCTCTTGCAAGTGACATGGACTCTTTAGATGCTTTCTTTTCATGGAATTTTGCTACTAGTGAAGTTTTTGTGAAAAATGAATTAGAAAGGTACGTAAAGGAAGACACTTTACCCCGGATTCATGAGTTTGATTTGTTAGGTTGGTGGAAGTTAAATGGGGTTAAGTATCCTACATTGTGTTTGATTGCAAAAGACATATTAGCCATTCCTATCTCCACTGTTGCTTCAGAGTCTTCTTTTTCTACAAGTGGTAGAATCGTTAGTCCACATAGGAGTAGACTTCTTCCATCAACAATTGAAGTTATCATATGCACTCAAAATTGGCTATGGGCGGGTAAAAAAGGTATGTATGAATTTGCTTGAACCATTGTTTTCTAATTCATTTTAATATATTATGCTTATTACCTTTATTTATTTTTTCTTTCTTAGGTTGTGTTATTGATGGTGATGATGTACATTCCGATGAAGACGATGAGGGACTTGAGGTAAGATTGTTCAATTTGTCGTTTTCTATTGAATAAACTAATATAGTAATTTATTTTATTATTATTTTTGTTATTTAATTAGGGATGATATTCGAATGTCAGTGAATGAAGAGTTGAAGGAAATTAACGGATACTGAAGATGTAGTGAATTGTGTTTTATATTTGTAATTTTGGATTTGTCGTATTTTGCATTTGTAATGTTAGATTTGTCTTCGTAAGATTGTTGGATTTATTTTTGTAAGATTGTAAGATTGATGGAATTGTTGGATTTTTAATTTTTTTAGTTTCTAAAAGATTAGGTTTTAGGCTTTTAAATTTATTAAAAATAGTATTTTTGCCAAAAATAAAACAGTTTTTTAGCAAAAAAAAAACCCAATTTGAAGTCGGGGAACCGGGGGAACGGGGGCGGGATCGGGGGCGACGGAGGTAACCGGGGGTGGGACCGGGGGCTATGTAAACGGGGGAACCGGGGGCGGGAGCGGAAGCGGGGGTAACAATTGATTTCAGGGGCGGGGGCGGGGGCACCTATTCCCGCTCCCGTTTGCCCCCGTTGACATCCCTATTCAATCCCATCCTTACCTGTATTTGCCTCTTTTTCTTAGGCACCATATGATAAAGGAAGTATCAGGAACTTGGATTTTAAAGATAAAAGTTCTTGTATTTGTTCAGATCAATAACAAAAGGGCAAACGCAGTTGGATGTTTTGAAGGGTGCACTTACGGGTGCATGGTTAAATCATGGATTTGGTTATGATTTAGGGTCCGTTTGTTTACCTCTTAATTGCAAAATTAAGAGGCAATGTCTTAAAAATTCGGATTCAGACCGTTTGTTTGTATCTTATTTTTTACCTCTTAAAATTACAATTGCCTCTTATTTTTTCAGATATTGAACAAGGTCTGAAAGATTAAAAAAAATGCGTGTACCTATTTTGCCCTAATAAATGATCGACTAGTTTTCTTCCCTTCGCATCTGGTCCCAATCGCATCTGCTCCCAAACGTGCCTGGTTCTCTTCACCAGCAAGGATCCGACGACGAGGCGTCCACCCTTCCCCGTTGACGATGCTGCGCCCTGCAACGCCGCCGCTGCCGCCGCCGCATGTCCTTTCGGCTCGAACGAGTTTTCGTAATCTGCCAATCAGGTAAGTTTTTCTTCTTTTGAAAATCGATTTCTTTGCTATTCTTCTATTTCTTCCTTCTTCTGAAAATCAATTTCCTTATTGCTCCTAAACCTGAAAATCAAAAGTCGAAATCATCTTGATGTTATTTGTTCTTGATTTGTTCAAAAATCGAAATCAAAAATCAATTTCCCTGCTATGAGTTCCTGATTTGTTCAATGTTGATGTTATATGCTCATCTTGATGTTATTTGATCCTGATTTGCTCAATTTTGATGTTATTTGTTCAATGTTGATGTTTTTGATGTTATGTTTGATTTTTTTTATACTCAATTTTTTATGTTCAATGTTTTTATATTTGATTATTATGCTGAAATGTTGTTGCTGAAATCATATTTGTGTTTAATGTTATAGTGAACTCATATATGTTCTTGTTATTATGCTATGATGGTTGTGTTGGTTATGGTGGCTGGATAGTGGTTGATTGTGGGTTGTTTACAATATTTGCATATAGGTTGACTTGTGGTTTGATACCAGAAACAATGGAGTAGATAAAGAAGCAAGATTAATCAATGAATTGATTATAAAAGCAGTTGAAGTTTTGAAAGGATGTATTTATGTATCAACTTCTGTTGATTATGGGGGATATTGTGTACTTGTAGGTAGATGATTTATATATAGTCATTATATTCGTTGAATGAAAGTTTAGTTTTGAAAGGATGTATTCATGTATCAACTTCTGTTGTGAAATGTCTTTAGATGTTTTTTGTTTGGTTTGTTGCACAATTCTGGGAAATTTATGCTACTTTTTGTGTGGTTTATTATTAATAAATGACTTCAGAGGATGTATAATTATGGTAGTTTTGATTTATGCTAAATTTGGACTTTATAAGGTCTTTATATTTTTTAATATATATTTAAGAAATTTATTAGGTTATTTTGTAAACAAACAGTTCAATTCAATAAAAAAATAAAACAGAAGGGTAAAACACAACAATTCAGAGGTCCCAACCAAACAACATGTTAAACATTCAGCTCTTAAAATTTCAGATCCTCTTAGAAATTCAGATCTTTTAAAATTTCAAAATTTAAAAATTCAGATCCTACCAAATAGCCCTTTAGCTTGCTAAGAGAATGTTAGTGATAATGACTTGTTCAAGTCTATTAAAAGTGTTTTTCAAGATTGGAAGATAGCGGAAGCACCAAGATCTCTATATAGCTATGCATTTGCCTTAGTTGTTTTACTCTTAAAATCACTATGTTTTTGTTAGGTCTTGTACCTGACCAGACTAATTAAACAACGATTTATAGCTTTCTTCATGATTTGGCTTGAACTCATGCCTCCCCTTCTTTATATATATATTTTAAAAGAAATTGCAAAATAAAATCAAAATGTCAAATCTTATTCAAAACCTCATTTATAAATATTCTCTTCCACTTCACAGATTATGACATCCTCTTTCCCACTTAACACATTGCTTCAATTTCTTAATCCGAAATGGCCAAGAAGAGCAGAAGTTCCTAAAAAACAAATATTATTTTGATTTTCTAAAAATGTTCGTTGCGTCTCACACATATTTTTAAATTTTCAAAATAGTTTTTTTGCTATTTGCAATCGAGAATTGTTTGAATATGATTCTTATTTATAATTTGATATAAGAGTCTAGAATGGACTACAAATCCAAAAGATTTGGTTTTATAATTTTTTTTCCTGAAAAAAAGGCAAATCTTATATATTCTTAAACTACGGTTCCATCTTAAAACATCCACAATAAATAATTTATTTGAGATGATATGTTTAATTGACATTCAATTGATAAAATCTTTTTTTATGAGATGTCATATTAAACTACCTCCATTTTAAAACATCAACAATATCTAATTTAATGAGATGACATGTTTAATTGATATTCAATAATCCAATAATCATGTTATGAGATCTTATGTTGAGATTCAAATTCAATAGATTAAACTCTACCTTTATGAAATATGTTAGAATTCAATTGATATTGAGCTATGCCAATTGAAAAAACAAAACAATACATAATTTAATAGGAGGAATTTCATATATATCCTTGTTAAATGTCGAAATATCATATTTGTCCGTCCAAAAATTTAAATATCGGATTTGCCCAAATCTATTTTTTAAACATTTTTTTTTATCATTTTTTATATTTACAATCATATTATTTATAAAAAAAATGCATATTGACTAAATTGTGCTTCACTTAACCATATTGGATTGACCAATTTATCCCTCAACCATCTAACCCTAATCATGTAAATGGAGAATTGGATATCGACTCTTTCTGATATGGTCGAAGTCTTCTACACATATATACAAGACGCACACACAATTCCTATAAGTGCGGCACACTCTTCATTCGGGAGTGACAAAAGTTTGTCAGCCACAATCTAATCTAATGTATGTGACTCTTCGTTTATAGCATTGATTGAGGGATGAATCGATTTTGCTTTTTTGAAGTGTTCATCAAAAAGTGATATTTAGGATAAATCGATTTGGATTTTTGGAGTAAAATGATTGGATTTTTTTGGGCAAATAGATTTTTTTTTCTTTTTTTTTTTGGGATAAATCGATTTGAAATATTGCTTATCATCTTCATAAATGTTGGTTAAGTAAATGTTTGCTTTTGAAAGTTTAATTTTACTTTTGTTTTGTTGGATCGAAATGAATTAATGTAGGCAACTTTATTGCATTCATGACATATTTCGGGAGTGTTTGGATAGGAAAAAAAGAGGTGCTTATTGCTTATTCCCACAATAAGCTAATTTAAGTGTTTGGATAAAATCTAGCTTATTAGGTTAAATAAGCTAATTTTAATAAGCATCTTTTCCCATGCTTATTGCTTATTGCTTATTCCCACCACAAATAAGCTATAAGCAATAAGCTAAATAGTTAATCCAAACACCCCTTTCATATGTAAGAGAGTAAAACCAATTTGATGGATCAAGCCTCTAATCAATGATAAAGATGAACCTTCAAACAATTAAAAGGATGCTTTTATGTGCAGTAAATGCAAACTTTATTAATTATCCGTAAGTTTTTTTTTACAAAGATAATACTAAGCCATATATAAACTAGGGGTGTGCATAAAACCGTACAAACCGCATAAACCGTACCGCATAACGCGATTTAGAACTTTAGTGGTGCGGTTTATAATTACAAGATTGCGGTCCAAACCGCACCGCATGGGTGTATATATATGTGTTTATGTTTTTTGATTCAATGTCCCAGTTAAGTACTATCTATGTATTTTAATTATTGTTATTATGGTATTAATTAATTCTTAATAATATTGTTTTTAAAAACCACCTATAATTATAGATCTTATAAAAAGTGACACTATTAGTCAGACATATAAGTTATAAAAATGAATATAGTATCGTCGTATCAATAAACAGAGATATAAATTATATATAAAATGTTGCATGAAATTTAATTTTTCACATCTAAATCATAATGAAATGCGAGAATGTCATTTTGTAATTACGTATTTAAGATTAATAATATGTTACATCATGTAGGCGATTTTTTCAAACCAAAAAACCGCACAAAACCACCCGCATCAAATCGCACCACACAACGCGGTTTATAGCATCACGGTGTGGTTTGGGGTTTTCGATAAACTCAAACCGCATATGCAGGGCGGTTTGTGGTTTTGGGTATAAAACGCAGCAAACCGTACCGCGCACACCCCTAATATAAACGATGAAGCATCAAAATGTTTACTATAACATTGCAATGTGTCATGCACTAATTTATTGTTATACCCAAGGTTGTAGAACTCGCTACTCGGTACCTACTCGGCCGACTGTCGAGTAGCGAGTACTCGGATTTGATAATTAATGTGGAAATATTTAAAAAAAAATTATATATATGTCAAAATCATAAGTTAAAATCATAATTTGATTGAAATATATAACAAAATTAGATGCATTTGAATACATAAAACTGAAGTACACACAATTGTTCGTAAATAATTATTGAAAATTTAAAATACATATGTAGTAATAATTACATGTGTGTTTTAAATAATAAATCATTAAATGTATTATACATACTAATCTTGAAATTCTTTATTATTTTTTCTTTTTATGACAATTTTGACACTTTGACCGAGTTTGACTTTGTTG